TTATTATAGTTAATTTCACTAATTTCTTTTTACATTTTAAATGTGACAGAAGATTTAAAATTATATTTGCATTATATTTTTATGGGATTTTGCTGACTTAGAGGATTCCAAGGAAATAATAACTCTCTAAAAAGCATGTAGCGATTTTAATGACTACATCACCTTGATTTTTCTAAGGTGTGGCTCGTGGGAAACAGTTCTCTGCTCCAGCTCTTGGCCTGGAGGCCCTGTCTTTGCTACTGGCAGTAGAAACATCCACAGCTAACCTTTGATTCTACATTCCGGAAGCTCGCAGGGAAGGTACTGGGAAGGTGCAGGAGGTGCCTACACCAACCCCTTAGCTCTTAAAGCTGGAATGGCCAGCTTTTTATCTCTTTAAATTTGAAAATTGAAAATTGTGGATAGCTACCCCCACCAAAACAAAACAAAACAAAACACAAAACAAAACAAAACAAAACAAAACAAAACAACAACAGGATACTTTACCTTTTTCCCACCTGATGGCAAAAGTAAAGCATGCTTGTTTTTTGGTGTGTTTTTTTTAATCCTTACCTGAGGATATTTTTTCCACTGATTTTTAGAGAGAAAGTGGAAGGGGGAGGAGAGAGAGAGAGAGAAAGAGAGAGGTGAGAGAGAGACATCAATTGGTTGGTGGGGCTGGGGATTAAACCTGCAACCCAGGTACATGCAGATTCAATTAATCTGTGGCCTTTTAGTGTGCAGGCCAATGCTCCAACCATTAAGCCATGGCAGCCAGGGCGAGCATGCTTCTTCTTCTTTTTTTTAAATTAAACATTAAGAAATGTTTGATTTAGAAAGAGGATGTCTGCAGACACAGGAAAAGAAAACCTTAAGTTATTGTTTTCTTGTGACCATGGAGATGTCTGCAAATGAAGAGGCAAGGGGGACACAGGATATGTGAGAAAATTGTGGACAGCTCTGGTTCCTGGGGAGGGACAAATGTGGGGGCTTGTAATGAGGAGCACCACGTTCTCTTTCCTGTATGTCTCCTTTCAGGGGAATTCTTTTGCTAGAATTTCTTCATGTATTTTTTAATAATAATAATAATAATAGAAGAAGGTATCTCCTCATTGCCCTTGCCCCTGGGATAGCCCCCATTAAATCTGATGTATATTCATCAAGATTTTTTTCTTTGAGCTACTTATTATTCTATCTGACTTCATAATAATGCTATTCAAAGGAAAACAATAGTTTTAAAATGTGTCCAGATTTTTAACAAGCAGATTTGGGGTCAGAAGAGGAACTTTGTTGCTGGACACTCCACAGACACAATTTTGGTGCCTCTGTCTTTTCATTTTTAAAATGGGAAGAATAGCAACCCCCTTCTCATGGAGCTGCTGGGAGAAGAAACGACGTTAATGTGCGTGAAGTGCTTAGACCAGAGCCTGCCCTAATAGGTGCTCAGTAAGTGTTTGTGTTGATTCTTGTTATAAGAAGTGGATTCAGATCAGAGTCCAAGATATTTCTCTGCCACTTATGACCCAGAGCCCAAGGCTGAGCCCATGGAAGCTTTTTGTTTGCTCATCCATAAAATGGGATCATAGCACTTGTGCCTGTTGTAGGATTAAATGAGAGAATGAGACACACAGGAGATACCCACTCTGCTTCAAAGTGTCCCAGGAACATCAACAAAAAATCACAGTGCTCCACATGGACATCCTGGTTGGGGGAGAGGGAGCGTCTGGGCAGTATTCCAGAAGGAGGTGGCATGTGAGGTGCGAGAATCTATAGGCCTGGAGTTGGGGTGAGAGAAGAGGAAAAGCTGGACTAGGAGTTCTCAAACTTTCAGAGCCTCAGGATCTCACTGGGTTGTTAAAAGGCAACTTTCTAGTGCGCATCCCACACCTACTGGAGATGCTGAAGCAGCAAGAAGCCACTTGCTCCAGAGAGACATGGGGTCTTATCCATTTAATAACTGCTGAGTGCCAGGCATTACTGTTACATAAACTTTCCCAGGGCTGAGAGACCAAAGAAAGAGGCCAACAACTCCATCATTACATCAAGAGTTTAGTAAAGCCCTAGTTGGTTTGGCTCAGTGGTTAGAGCTGCGGCCTGCGGACTGAAGGGTCCTTGGTTCACTTCAGGCCAAGGGCACGTCCCTGTCCCCTGCTCTGGTGGGGGCTCGCACAGGAGGCAACGGTGTCTCTCTCAGTTTGATGTTTCTCTCTCCCCCCCCCCTCCATTCTCTCTGAAAAGCAATGGAAAAATATCCTCAGGTGAAGATTAAAAAAAAAAAGTTTATTAAGGGAACCTCCATACGTGGGTGGTGGCAAGATGACATGGATATCCTCCATGCCATGTGGCAGGTGCTAAGGGGTTATATAGGACAGGGCAGGATAGCTATGGGTCCTGGGCATTGAGCTGCCCCAGACAAGGGGAAAACCTAAGGAGAAAATGCCTTACATACTTGCTAGGGCAGGGCCAGGGCCTGGGCCTGGGCCGAGCATGCAGCATGTCTGGGGTTTAGGGTAGGAGCCAGGCAGTCTCTGAGGGAATTTATGGGAAGCAATCTCTGTACTGGACCTAGCCTGAGGGTTGGGCAGCGGTCAGGCAGTGGTTACGTCATGGGATAGTCTTTCCTCCATAATTACTCAGGTAGTGAGGAAAACTGACAAAAATCCCTTGCCTCAAGGAGCTGATATTCTAATGGAGGCAAGTGATGTGAAGACCTACTGAGAGCTGCTGCTGTGAGACAATGGGGCCGGGTGGATGTGTAGACAGCATACAGGGAAGCTGTGCTTGCCATTCTTTTCGTTTGTTTGGTTTTTGTTAATCCCTACCCACAAAGCCCGCAGGTGGGTGCCATATCCGAGTCTCCATCAACCTGGCCCCCACCCCATCCAACTTGCAGGCCCACCCAAGTTGTTTCCAGTGGCTTTTCCATACAAATGGTTTGTCTTGGCTCAGGCTTCAGACTTTCCTAAAATCTCTCAAACAAGCAGCATCTGGCAAGCCCTGTACCTTTTGATAACTGGCCCCAGGCCCAGTACTATCCTTAGCTGGCCTTGGTTCGCATCTTGACCTCTCCTGGGCACCTCCAAGCCCAGCATAAGTAGCAGCCAGCTGCAGATCACTTTGTACTCATGACGGGTGGCCCAGGGCAGGACACAGGTGGCAGCTGAGCTTGGCCTGCACCTCCCAGGAGGCCGTGTTACCAGTGATTTTGGCCACAAAATGGCACCAGTTGTTACTGATGAAGTTGGACCTCCGTTCTTGAGTTTGGCAAAGAAAGAATTCAGAGTCTAGAACTCAAATTATAAGAAAAAGTTTATTCTGAAAGTTACAGCGGTAGTTAAAAGTGAGCCATAGAAGAAATGGGCTAAGGAAACAAGTTACAGAGGCAAAAGAAGGGCCCTTGGAGCTTAGGAAAGTACACTCGAAAAGATCTGAGCGGATGTGCTCTGGGAGTGAGTGAAGGGAGAGAGTGCTGGGTCCTTGTTTTGAGGGTTTTAAAGATTGGAAGTTTAGGGGAGGTCTTAGGTGAGGATCTCAATCAGCTTTATGTTGATGCATCAAAATGAGATTTATTCCCCTGACTTCCTCAGTCCTTAGGTGTGGTTGGCACAAATGGCACTAATTGAATGTTTTAATCTACCTCGAGGAGTAGTGTGATTTAAGCTATTTACCATCTGGTTAGGGAGGAGAAGTGTAAAACATTTACTCTTAAGTGTCCTTGGTTAGGGCTGGAGCGTTAGAACAATGGGAGCCTAGGAGGGCTTTGAGCAGGGGTTGCTGTGACCTGATTTTCTTCTGACTGTTGTGTACATTCTAGCAACTCCACTCCCTCCCCATGGCCTTTTGTCTGGCTCATTGATAATAAGACTAATGAATATTTATTGAACACAGACTATGTGCTAGGCACTCACAACAACTCTCTGAAAAGAGTAATGTTAGAGATGAGGAAACCAAAACACAGAGAGGTGAGCCCCACATCTCCATTCTCCTCCTCAGGTTCTCTGCCATCAAGTCAGTTTCCACCCATCAGCTGAGCTGGGCCTTCTACCTCAGGACTGGTTAATTCCCCTGCAGCTCAAAACCTTCCATGGCTCCCCGCTGCCCTGGAAATGACCAAGCCCTTTAGCCTGGTATTCAAAGTCCTTTATAAAGTCAGCCTGCCTGGCAGCCTCCTCAGCCCCATCTTTCTCTTCCTCCCTTTCATCTTCAGCCCCTCCTTCATACACCAAGTTCAAGCCATCCTGGATGTCTTGCAGTCCCTCCAGCACTCCTGGGGTGCGTGTCCCTGGGCTGCTGCCTTGGCTTCGCAGGTTCCCCACTCCCACCCCAGTCCAAGTTGATGAAACTCATTCACAACCTCCCCTTGTCTTGTCTTCCCAGTTGCCTGGGGTCACCCATCAAGCTTCCATCAGGACCAGGTGCAGGGGGAGCACCAAATTTATTCATCAATTCATTCATCCATTCATTCACAATAATTTCTTGAGCACCTACTGTATAGCAGTCCCTGATATAGAAACTGGGAATATCACAGTGAGCAAGACAGATACAGCCCTGGTCTTAAGCAGATGACATTGTTGGGAAGGGGAAACACTCATTTAACAAACAAACCAATAGGTACCATACACAATATATTTATAAGTGTTATTGAGGGAGTAAAGCAGAGTAAATATTAAAGCAAGTATCTTTGAGGAGGTGACATTTAAACATCTCTTCCAAATAAGGGTTCAAGCTATGCAGATATCTGGAGGAAGGGTGTACCTGGTAGCGGGGAAGGTCCTGAGGCAGGAGTCAACTTGGATGTTGGACAGACACAAGAGGCCAGTGTGATTGGAATCGAGTAGGAGAGAGGGAGGAGGCAGGTGCAAGCAGTGCCAGGGCAGGCTGTGCAGGCCCCAGCTGAATGGTGAAACAGGAACAAATGTCTGGAGCTTGGGTGTGATATTCCATGCTCTTTATCTGGGGTTAGGCCCAGTGGCCTGGGCCTGCTTGGAGACAACCCTGAGAGCAGCAGAGGCCTCAGGGTCTCAGGACTTGCAGCCTTGAATGCTCATGTACTCTGAAAATCCCTCCAGCTGCTCCAGCAAATCCTTCTTTTCCACGTCCCCATTCACCGGCCAATGCATGAGGAACGTCTCCTTGCCCAGGACATAGGTGTAACTGTGGGCAAGGGACACAGAAAGGTGAGGAGAGCCTGGTGCCCCAGAGGCATGGAGACTTCCCTGCCTGGCAGCCTCCCAGAGCCTCTAGTCCACTCACCTGGGGATTAAAAAAGTTTCCCCTTCCTCTGACTCTTTACTGCCCTCTGTTGGAAAACCGAGCCTACATCTACATCTGTAATGTCTACGTGAATGGCATTCCCTAGAGCTGTGCAGTGCACAGCCTGCACCTCCATTCAGTGCAGCTCTCAAACCCAAGACTCCTGCTGACAGATGCAGTAGAAATTTTGGTACCAGGGACTGGGCTGTGGTAGGGAAGGGGGCCCGGGCCTGAGTCCCCAGGGCAGGAAGCCCACACGCACTCAGATTTGATTCTCCACAGGTCTGATGTGTGGCCCATGATGAGGTATGTCTCTTGTTCTTGCAGCTCTAGGGAGTCATGGCAGGTGGCGTGGGCGACGAATTTCTTCATGGTGAGTGGCATGGCAGCAATGTCCGTGCCTGGAGGAGAGGAAGCCCGGTGTGCGATCACAGGCCTGCCCCTCCCCC